CAAAAACGCATGATCGCACCGGCAAGCCTGGTGCGTTGCAGCCCGGGCTGCATTTACGTATACGCAAAAATACATAAAAAAAAATACCAAATTACTGCTAAGTTAAGGAAGAAACGAACAATTTACATAGTTACTGTGCAGATCCCCGCCCCTCCTCTACCCCACTTCATTAACCACTTTCCCATCTGCTCGTTTTTATTTGCTCCGCAAAATGTGAACTTACCTCGACTAGACTAGTCTTCAAACAAAAAAACATGTGCTTCCATTACTGTGAGAGATGAAGACACTCAGATGAAGCCCGAGTGGCAGCGCGTATTACTGCAACCAGGCGTGGCACGCCTGTTGCTGACTTTCTCTCTTGAGGATAGATTAGAAACGAGCTGGTGGCGTCTTCCTGGCACGTACCCTGTGTCACTTTATCACTGAAAACCAGTGATAAGTTGTAGAAGGATCGTTCATCTACTGCAAGCTGAATCCTCGACCTTTAGAAATCGATTAGCACTACTTATAATTACATTACTTATCAGTACTCTGAGATGCAGATCCGAAGCGTTACCATTACAGCCGTGTACTGTTCGGCTGTCCCACAAATCGCGAATGGATTTGCGTCATCGGCAACAAATGTTTCTTACGGGGGATCAGCTAAATACACTTGTTACGATGGTTTCGACTTCGCTAGCGGTAAATCAACCGAGGAAATTTTTTGCACCGATGAAGGCCGCTGGACACTCGCTCCATCGTGTAAAGGTATTTAAAACGGAAGCTGAAAATTCGTTTGCTCCGTTCTTCAGATGTTACATTTTACATCTAGAATATTTGTCACAGGATCCTACTTGATCATCTTATCCTGGCGATGTACAACTGGCAACCGCCAAGCTAGTGCCCAAGTATGAGACTCTGTACCATTTTCGTTACTTTTCAGTAGCAGCCTAGTTGCTTCCTTCTGTCTTAAACTATGTCTCGACATCATGCTAGTTGCACACGTGAGTTTATGCATATAAGCCGCACTACTGCTCCATGTCTGCATTTTTTGTCATTTCTGTGTGATTGTAATGTTGGGAGAGAAGACGAGCAAGGGAGCAAATATTTTTTTAACTTGATTCTGCAAAGGGAACAGGCAGTACAAGGAATAGGAATCTTAAATTAGCACCAATTTTGAAAAACCCAAAAATCTACAGGCTTTATAGGGAAAGGGGGCCAAACCGCAGGGATGTACATAACTAGCAGTCCAAATGCAGTTCAATGGGACTTTTTTTTAAAAATTCTATTTACATTTCAAATGTTTAGCAATGACTTGCCCAGCGTTAGCACCGTTTTTGAACGGAGAAAGAATACTGGAATTTGGCGATGGCACTGGCTACGGTACAGTG